TGTGGTAATTTGCTGAAAGGGGAGTTTTGTCACACCACTTCTGCCTTTGGGAAAATGTCCAGTTCCGGAGCCCCACAGGTCGTATGGCAATTGAATAAGGGTGGAAGACTTCTTGAGCAGACCTCATCATGAGTTTTGGTTGCGAGATAAAATCGGACCTGTGATCCTTCTGTTCTTGTCCTCCACATCCCTGTCCTTGTCTTTACTCTGCCATTAAAAAAATTCAATTCATAAAATTTCAGTTTTGATTCTTTTTCTGTTCAGGGTATTTTTAAAAGGGAATTTTACATTAATTTCCCAAATTGGTGGTGTTGTTTTGAGTCTCTTTTGTGTTTTAGGTTGGTTTGGATTATAATCAGATAATGAGGTGTCTTTCTAGCCAGGTGCCCCAGGGACATAAAAAAATAATGCATATTCTCTGTATAATTAAAGTACTATATATATTCATAAAATTGAGCTTATTGATTATCTCATTCAAATTGTTAGTATGTTTTCTTCAGCTTATATGATCTACCAAAATCTGAAAGTGCTAAAATACTTTACTATGATCAGATGTTATTATATCCCTGCATTTCTAGAAGTTTTAACTCTAGTTATCTGACTGCCCTGCTGCTTGTCCATAAAAGTTTTATTTAAAGAAATAGAATTGAATAAATGGAGAGAGACATAATCTCCAGCTGAATGGGCAGACTTACATCACATAAATGGCAGTTCTTCCAACATTATCTCTGAATTTAATGACATTCTGATCAGAAACCTGACACTTTTTTGTGCATGGGAAGGGCATTGGTTAGAATTACCTTTAAAAATGTTAAAAAATAAGAGTACTTGAGGGTGGGGAACTTTCCTTATCATATGTTAAAATTACCATAATGTGGGGTGCCTGGATGGCTCATTTGGTTAAGTGTCGGATTCTTGGTTTCGGCTCAGGTCATGATCTCACGTTTGAGAGAGTTTGAGCCCCGTTTCGGGCTCTGAGCTGACAGTGCAGAGCCTGCTTGGGTTTCTCTCTCTCCCTTTCTCTCTTCCCCTCCCCTGCTCACTTTCTCTATCTTTCTCGAAATCAATAAATAAACTTAAAAATAAAATAAAATTACCATAATGCTACAGGAATAAGAACAGTGTGATATAGAAAATACAGAATTAAGTCAATTGGCTGGAAATAACAGATTCTAATATTGTAAGAAATTAAAGTAGATAAAGGCTGAATTTCATTACACTGGAAAAAGGAATGTTTATTTGATAAATGGTGTTAGCATAATTGGCTATCTGTGTCAAAAAGAACAAAATTAGGGCTTTACACTTACATTTCTGTGGATGAAAGATTTAAATGTAAATTACAGTGATACTGGAAGATATTTTAGAACACTGTATCATTTTGAGGTAGGAAAGATCTTCACAGACAAGACAGGAAATGCAGAAGAAATAAAGGAAAATATTGACATTTAACTACATAAAATTAACTGCGTCAACTTTTATATTTCTTTCTGGCAGAATACACCATAAATTATTGAAAGACTTAGTCATACATATGACAGTCAAAAAATTGATACCCTTAATCTTTGAATAGGGAAACAGACAATCCAATAGAAAAACAGACAAGAATGTAAACAGGCAATTCACGGAAGAGAAATGCATATTGTCTCCAAAACCCATTAAAATGATGCTCTGTATAAGCAGGAAGGAAGTACAAATAACAGTGAGAAAAAAGTTACCACCTGTCCAATGGGGAAAATACAAAAGGGTCTGGGCACATCAGGTTCTGTGTTATGGAGAAGCAGACCCCTCACATGCTGTGGTGGGGGTGTATGTGGACTGGTATGGCGTTTTCTGGAAAGTTCATTCTTTGACTTGGCAGTCTCACAGTAAGGTCTGTCCTATAGAAATGAAAGCACCAGGGGCGCCTGGGTGGCGCAGTCGGTTAAGTGTCCGACTTCAGCCAGGTCAGGATCTCGCGGTCCGTGAGTTCGAGCCCCGCATCAGGCTCTGGGCTGATGGCTCAGAGCCTGGAGCCTGTTTCCGATTCTGTGTCTCCCTCTCTCTCTGCCCCTCCCCCGTTCATGCTCTGTCTCTCTCTGTCCCAAAAATAAATAAAAAAAAAAAAACAAAAAAAAAAACGTTGAAAAAAGAAATGAAAGCACCAGTATATGCATGTACAAGGATATTTATTTTAATGTGTTTTTAATTAATTAATTTTTTTATTTTAGAAAGAGTGTGAGTGGGGGACAGGGGCAGATGAGGAGAGAGAGAGAGAGAGAGAGAGAGAGAGAGAGAGAGAGAAAGAGAGAAAATCTAAGCAGGCTCTGTGCTGAGCATGGAGCTCGATCCCATGACCCTGGAATTATGACTTGAGCTGAAATCATGAGTCGGACGCTTAACCCACTCAGCCACCCAGGCATCTTTTTAACGTGTTTTTATTACAGTAAGAAATTTAAAAAATATTAGTATGTCCGATAATAGCGAAAAGACAGAACAAATTGTAATACATATGTACTATGTAATATTTGACGTCCGTTAATAAGAACGTCTTGAGTTACATGTATTGATTAGGAATCATCTTCATAATAGATTGTTTGGCAAAGGAACAAATTTCAGAGAGGTGTTAGTAGTATGATCAAATTAAAATATATATTTGTATGGGTATAGAAAAAGATTTGGGAGAATGGACACACACAGATGTTATTATTTATCTTAGGTGAATAGGATTTGGAGAAGGGTGGCAGGGAGGAGACCAATTTTTAAACTATATAGATCTTTGCACTTTCTGCTCTGGTGGAATGAGTTCAAAATATTAACGTTTATTTATTTAAACCCGTAACTCTAGCTTACATTTTCTAAAGTCTCATGACTTTTTTTTTTTTTAATTTTTTTTTTCAACGTTTATTTATTTTTGGGACAGAGAGGGACAGAGAGGGACAGAGCATGAATGGGGGAGGGGCAGAGAGAGAGGGAGACATAGAATTGGAAACAGGCTCCAGGCTCTGAGCCATCAGCCCAGAGCCTGACACGGGGCTCGAACTCACAGACCGCGAGATCGTGACCTGGCTGAAGTCGGACGCTTAACCGACTGCGCCACCCAGGCGCCCCAAAAGTCTCATGACTTTCAATGAAATTTGGGGTTGGCCTGTTTGCTGGTCTTTTTAAGAAGACGTGCTGGGCCTCCAAGGGGAGAATGCTGGCTTTTGCTTCCTGGCCTGTACTACTTTCTGGCTCCTTTATTTGTCCCTCTTATTTCTGTGATTCTTCACTTCAGCCATTTTCTGGCCAGTATGCTGTTTCTTTGCCCCTTTATAGGTCATTTGTGCTAGTCCAGGTTGATAGTTGGTGGAGAAAAATTACACAGCTCTTCCATTAGTGTCCTATAAATGTGTGGTGTTCAGTGTCTGATGATCCCTTAAGATGGCTTAGCAGTCCATCTGTTTCCCCTCGTTAGCTCCGTTCTTAAATGCATGTGGTATTTCGGACAAGCCTCTTTCTTCAAACTTTTAGCACTGCCACTTCTTCTTTATTTATTTATTTTTTTTTTTTAATTTTTTTTTTCAACGTTTATTTTATTTTTGGGACAGAGAGAGACAGAGCATGAACGGGGGAGGGGCAGAGAGAGAGAGAGACACAGAATCGGAAACAGGCTCCAGGCTCTGAGCCATCAGCCCAGAGCCCGATGCGGGGCTCGAACTCACGGACCGCGAGATCGTGACCTGGCTGAAGTCGGACGCTTAACCGACTGCGCCACCCAGGCGCCCCCGCCACTTCTTCTTTAGAGCAGCAAGTGAGGGGCTCAAGACTCTGTAGGGAAAATGGCAACGCCAGAAACTACGTGCTGCTCTGAACACACAAACTTAACCTTCCTCTCGTACCAAGGCTGATTAGCCACCTATGCTGGGGAGGCCAGCCCTTCCTATCTCCTTCTGGGGGGATGTGGAGGGTGTGTGTGCTCGTTCCTTGGATTGTCTCCGCCATCTCGTGTATCTCCTCTGTTTCCTTATTCATTCATCTCCAAGAGTAAGTATCATGGCCTAGGATACCTGTGTCTGATTCTTCCTTACCTTCCTGACTTGTCTGTGTTATACGTGTACTTGTTGGGTAGATAGAAAGAAGGAAGGCTATTTGGGCACAATAATGAGAAAACAACATGAGCTAAAGAGAGTAGAAGACCTCAAGAGTAAAGATGAAAGAAAGGCAGCAAACCTAGAACAGCCTTTTTATCCCCTGTCCAGATGCTTCTGGCCAGGATGGGAGGAGAGTGGGGGGACGTGTATTACTCTTACCTAAGCAAATGAAGATTTAATTGTTTCAACTGCCAAACTATGGCATTGTGACTTCTTAGCTAGAGTTAGAAGCCTGATGGCTGTATTTTGATTTTTGTGTTCTTTTATAAATTTTTGAAAACAGATGAAAGGTAAAAACTTCATCTGTAAACTGATGTGTGCCACGCATGTTCTATAGGAAAGCTTGGGATGGGGTTTGGGAAATAATGAATTAATCAAACCTTTAATGGGCTGGCATGCTTTCTGAATTTCCAAGAGTAGGAGACCATATGGTGTTTTCTACCTTAATGACCACTAAACCTTTTTCTGCACTTCTCTCCTCCTCTTTCCTTAATCTATTATCCTGTGTCTTCAGAAAAATAGTTTGAGAACTGCTGGAGGACACAAATAAATATATGGTACGAAAGAGTGAAAAAAAAAAAAAAAGAAAAATATCAGCTTGTTTTATGCCCAGGAATGCGACTATTCACAACTTTTTATTCCCTGTCAGTTTGGGGTTTTTTTTGTACATTTGGAAGATGGAAAATGACTTTTTAAAAATGAAACTAATTTTGACTAATGTTACGGTAAAGGGAATAAACTATTTTGTAAATGAGCACAGTAGAGTGAGTTCTAGTGTGGCTAAAATTTGTGTAGTACTAGAAGTTTATCATATTATATTATTTCATGGTTTCATTAGGGTTGACCTGAATTTCGGTTATTTGAGTTATGTTTTCTTACCTTCTTTTCCAGCGGCAGCCGATTAGGAGGCCTGGTTACAGTGCTGTGCTTCTTTTTCAATCATGGAGAGGTACGTAGTCAACAAATATTTTCAGAATTTTTAGAAGATTGTACTTCCAGAAATACAAGTTTCTTCTTTAGGTAGTCAATCAAATATTTTTTAAAAATTTAGGAGATTTTTCTGATGGAAATACAGGTTTCTTTTTAAAATTTAATTTCCTTAAATTTAGTCTATAGTAGCATTCTTTAAATGCTTGATCTTATTTTAATACAAATTTTACACTAGCATTGATTTTAAGTTAACTTTTTGTGAATATTATATCTTTCGTGCCATATATCTCTTAGTGATTCGAAGCAAGATGGGTCTGCATCAATTCTTTATATAATTTAAAAGTGCGGAAGTTCACGTGTAGTGATAATAGAAATAAGCCAGGCATGGATGTAGTTAACTTCCTTGTGTGGGGTAACTTTTTTTTTTTTTAAGTTTGTTTATTTATTTTGATAGAGCGAGAAAGAGCCCAAGCAAGGGAGGGGCAGAGAGAGCGAGAGAGCGAGAGAATCCCAGGCAGGCTCTGTGCTGTCAACGCAGAGCCTGACGCGGGGCTCCATCTCACGAACTGGGAGACCATGATCTGAGGTGAAATCAGGAGTCAGATGGGTCGGATGCTTAACCAGCTGAGCCACCCAGGTGCCCCAGGGGATAACTTTGTGTTGTTGGAGCTATATAGTATGTTTCTGTTTTAATGCATCTATGTTAAACTTGGATGCATTTTTAAGTCTCCTTTGCAAATATTATTCCTGTAAATTTGCACATATCCAAGGGTTTTCTAAAGAGAACCCTATTATAAAAAAGTATCGACTCTGTCTCCAGGCTACCTGTGTTCAAATCCTGGCTCTGATGTTTAGGGGCTTTGTGACCTGAGCAAGTCATATGTCTCACCTGCCTTAGTTTCCTCTTTGTAAATGGGTGTAATGATGTTACTCATCTCATGAGATTATTGGGGAGATGAAATGAATTCATGAGTGTAAAGCATCTAGAACAATGTTTGGCACATAGTAACTGTTATGTAACTATTACCTTGTATTATTATTAATAACTTAGTTTAGATTAAATTCTAATATAAATTCAGGATGCCAGTGAAATCCTTCCACTAAATGAATTGTAGTTGTACATGAATTTCTATTAGTAGATCTCTATCTGGTTTTCTTTCATGGTAAATTTTGTATGAGGGAAAGGAAAAAAAATTCAGCTTGTTTTGTGTGAAGTAACTTAATCCTTTTATGCATTTATAAACTCAGTGTCTACAGTATTTGAATATGCACACGTTAAAAAACCCTAATTATACTAAAATGTAACTGTAGAGTCAAGGTTGAACTTTTTTTTTATTGTTATATTAACTAACATAGGCTTAATATTTAGAATCACAGAAATTTAAAGCCAGAGCAGCCTTAGAGAACAGAGCATTTGAGATAAATCATTGCAGCATGGTTTATCTGACTTTTGAGCAAGAAAAAAAAACATTTGGTTTTTTTTGCCTCTTTTTGACTGTGGATGCCACTCAGTATAATAGTGCGGACCATGAGACATGTGGAAGCGTAGATCCTGGGAGAATGACCTAAGAACTAGGAAGTAACTACTTAACAGTGGAGGAAAGGAGCGCTGAGTGTTCACTAGGAGATGTTGGAGGAAAGAGATTATAGAAAAATTTGAAGCCAAGGTGCAGTTTTATTTTTTTTTATTTTTTTATTTTTCCGATTAAATCAAAGGGTAGTTTATTATAAAAGAATCAAAACAGAAACTCTAAGTACCAGTGTGTACATTGTACACATTTAAATGACTCACAAGAATGAAGTTTTTTTCATATACATTAAGATCACACCACCTTGCTGTTTATCAAAAGATGTTCAAGGAGAAATCTGACTCCAAACTGCATACAAGACTGCCATCTTAAACAGACCGCATTTCAAACAAAGACGATGGTCTGTTAAGCAGAAAGGTCTATTGTGTTACCCTCAGTCTAAATTAGAGGTGGTCAATTCCCGATCTTATGTTTTTCTTACACGATTTTGATGCTCACATAACATGAACATCATTCCTTACAAGGCTTTTCAGTTTATACCAATGAAATTTGGACTATTCTGTTCATTTTTCGGGTTGATAGACTTTCCCTTTGATAACTTTTTGGCTATTTGGTGTGTTTAAACATGCTTAGACATCCCTTTCTACTTAGGAAAGGGTCAACTAAATGTGACAAGAATTAGAATTGCAGTTACACTGAAATAGTCAAGTAGATAATTGTACTTAATCAGTAACTTAGCTTTGGAGTAGAAACGTGACCATTCTGAGTAAAAACATTGAAATTTCGTAGAATAAACTGCAGTTTGGGGTAAAGTGAGGGTGAGAACTTAAGTAACTAAAACCAGTTATATTATAATTTAGTATTTATTTTGGTTTTCAGACTGTGATTGTCAGACCCTATTTTTTTTCTGAATTTTAAAGATGTTGCTCAAAGTCTATAATTTTTATAGAAGGGAAGCATCTATTCTGGTCGTACCTATTCACATGTTTAGTGAACTGTTCTAGAGCTTCCTGGTGTTTTGCTCACGGGAATTGCTGGCGGTTACTAATCTGGACCCCTCTTTCTTAGGAGAGTTATCTTAATCATTCAAGTGAATGGTTTGTATGCCAAAAAATAGTTATGGATTGTTACTTGCTTTTAAATTCTATTTCCATTGTTTAGTTTGCTCTCTGCTTGAGTCTAAGATAGTATATTTTGAAAACAGTCTTTCACTCAGATGATTTCATAAGGGAACATTTTGGCCTTAACAAAAGAACTATACAATGTATAGTATACAAGAAGTAATCAAATGATTTAAAACAGAAATTTAAAACCTCCAAATCTGAAACCTGTGAAAATGTAACAAAGGACTTATTAATTGCTCATAATAATAATATCGAGCTTGCACATTTCATAATAAAAATTATGTAGATGTTTTCACTTGTCAAGCTTTTTTTTTTTTTTTTTTTTTTTATTAAATGTTGATTCTGTCCCAATTGGGAATTATTGCTAAGATGAAAGCTAACAGTTTTGCTCTGCCTTTTAAATCCTTCCTAATTACAAGATCAGATGTATGCCACATGGGTTGATACTGTAGGATTTTTAGCATACTGATTGAAAAGCATTTAGAGGAGTATATCAAAAAAAACCTAAATACAATATTTCTCTTTAATTTTAGACTGTTAAAAATTCATTATATGTGAAATAGGTTTGTTTAGCTTTTTCATGATGAGATTTTTTAGAAGTTATTACTAAGATGACTAATGGTGTTTTATGTGGAACATGTTCCCAGATAAAATGATAGGCACATGTGAGGAGGAAAATTCTTTTTTTTTTTTTTGAAACCAAAGTAATTCAAAGTAGTATATGAAAGGTTTGCTTTAGAGGCATATCTAATTAATCTTTCTTTATTACCCATAATATATTTCTGACCCATATTGGTTTCTTAAATATTTTTGAACTGAACTGAGATAATGTACATGTTCCTAATTAGTTAATGACACAGTTATGTTATTTAAGATTTGGAAAGCAGTTCTTAGAACACTTTGAAAACAGTCTCATTAATCCTTGGGATGTTCTTGTATGGTAGATAAATAGGAGATAATAATATTCCAGTTTGCATAATAATTGGAAGCACTAAAAGGTTAAATGTTTGAGTCAAGGTTGCTAAACAGGGACAGGATTCTAAGTTTTCTGATTAACCCGTAATCTCTCCAAACTTCTCTCAACACAGATAACTCTCAGAAAAGGGAGTAGGATTTCAAAGATAACACAACAGTTTATCTTTCAGGAGTGAAAGTACAGAGATCTTTCCTCGCTAATTTGTGGAACTTTTTCTCTTCCCTTTCTTTTTTTCCTTCCTTTCTTTTTTTTTTTTTTTTTTTTTTCTTCTTCCCTCTCTCCCCTCTTCCCTTTCTTGTGATGGTAACATTTTGGCCAGGACATTTATTCTGGGTCTTCTGTTTATTCAACTCAAAACAATGTATACAGAGGGCTCATTGTATGCCAGGTACTTGTAGATGCTGAGGATATGTCAATATGTCAGTAAAACAAGGACCCCTGTCCTTGTGGATAAGCGTATGAAGGTCAGACCATCTTCTGTCTAAGGTGGGAGAATCCTGGCTTTTGGGGAAAGTAGCAAGGAGGCTATCACAACAGGAGCAGAGAGTAGAAGGGATGAGGCCAGTTAATAATGGGGAGTAGGATGTGGAAGAAGCCAATTGTGTAGTCCTTGTTGGTCACTGTAAGGTTCATTTGGAGTAAGTAGGAAGGCCATTGAGGAATTACATGCAGAAGAGTGATGCAGTTTAAATTACTTTTTACATTAATTTGGAAAATTGTGTGAGTATAAAGATGTATTATTTATTCAGGCTATTGAGAGGTGTGTTTATCAATTTGTGAATTTACATTAAAATTGCATTAACTCCAAAGTCAAAAAAAGTGTGCTGGGCTTAGATGGGAATGTATCTGTTGATTAGATTTGAAAACCGCCTATAATATAGTAGAAAACTAGCCTCTTGATGACCTGGGCCCTGCTGGGTTCTCAGCACTGTCCAGGCTCTTCTCTTTGCTTAGGTCCCACTGCCCTTCCCCCTCTACTTCCCAAAAGGACCACCCCTTTTCCTTCCTCAGAGCCTTTGTATGTGCTGTGCCTTTGCCCTGCAAACATCCCTCCCTTTTTACCTCCTAGCCATCCTTCACATCTGGACATTTGTGTTTGGGTGTCAGTGATATTTTTCATTCTACAGATCTGGGTTTCCATCTGGTAGAATTTCTCTTTGGTCTTAAGGACTTTATTTAGCGTTGTGGTGAAGATCTGCTGCCAACAGGGTCTCTTAGCTTCTGCCTGTCTAAAAATGTCCTGATTTTGCCTTCTTTTTTTTAAGCGTGTTTTTGCTGGATAAGAATTCTAGGTTGATAGCTTTACCTTTCGGAACTTTAAGTGTTATTCTATTGTCGTCTGCTTTCTGTTGTTTAATGAGAAGTCAGTTATCATTCTTCTTATTACTCT